AGGTAATGATCCAATTTAGCCCTGAAACCACCATTGCCGCCTCCAATCTTCTTGCTTCCACTTGTTTTGTTAGTTTCACTAGCCATCTTTAGCTCGGTCTCTTTCTTTCTCTTCTTCTTATCTGAAAAGCCTTAAACCCTCCCCCCAATTTTATTACTCTATGGTTTCTTGATTTTGAGCTTAAATCCTTAAACCCTACGACGAAGGAAAGAAATAGTGTAGTGAATAGCCTTGACTCTAGACTCTAGAGGCAATCTGGGCTTAGTGGTGGCGGCACGTGTTGGCTCCGGGGGATACTATTACCTTGTTTGATCTAGCCACGTGACACTTTTTGGAGATTATTTTTGTCGCCAAGGCATTGATCTCACACTTTCCAACTGCTTTATTATTTTCTTCCTTCATAAAAGAAAAGCAGAAAATTTTTTTGGCCGATTTATTTTTTTCTCCCTTCATAAAAAAAATATATTTTGGGCAAAAAAATTTTTTTTTTTCTGCTTTGCCAAAAAGAAAATATGTATTTGTGTCTAAATTTGGTTGGTGAAAGACTCAATATGCAATAATCTGCATCTATTTTGCAGGCAAAAAGAGGAAATGTAGGTTGTATCATTTTGTGTGCTCTCCTAAAAATTGCCTTTAGATCTCTCGTCCTAAAACATGCTTCAGTTCTGAAAATGATAGGACTACTTATCCATGTTAGAAGACTCCATAGAGCAAATCCCTCACTCTTCTTGGCTCAACTCCTGAACCCACTAGCTCATCAAAAACTTTCATCTTGCTGTACAGATACTTCTCCGTCGCATCATTCCATTGGGGCATTTCAGCAAACGCTTATCAACCCTGGTCACTCCAGTCTACAGAGCCTCCATTCCTCGGCATCCCGTAGTTCTGACCAACGACACATCTATGATGTCATCAACTTCCGTGAGTGTGTAAAAGAAACCCGTGAAAATGCTCAAGTGGGTCTCAGTGAATTGACTGAGTTAATCCAAAAAGCTAAGAATTTTGATTCTGGAGATGAAGCATTGGATTTTCTTGATAAGGGAGGTGTTAAACCCAATAAATATTTGATTTTTTCCTCTATGTTTGCTTTAAGGAAAGAATGGAAGTTGGCATTCTTGTTATATAAATGGGGTGAGAGATGGGATTGTGTGGATGAAATGGTTCGGTGTTTGATGATATGGGTTCTGGGGAACCATACAAAGTTTGGTACTGCTTGGTCCTTGATTCATGACCTTCATAAAAATTCAGTGGATACTAAAGAAGCATTGCTCATCATGATTGATAGGTAAATGCAGAGTCTTGATCGCTGTCATTATGCAGGTTGTATCTCCTTGATTAATGTAGATCGTCCGTAAGAAAGAGCAGGTATTCCAACTAGGAGATGTAATTCACTCACTACCTGTCAAACTTCAAATGACATCTTTCAGCTAATGTTGAATTTGGTAGCATATAAATTACATTTGCAATATTAATTTGGAGTACAAGTCTGATGTCCCTAAATGTGAAAACCGGTTCCATCGTCCTCCCACCGCTCCCTGTAGAAGAAATTCATTGCAGAAGAAACTCCCAACATATATCTTGTTTAGCTACTAGCATGTTCATGCCGATTGCCAGTGGCGCAGTGCATTCCTTTTTGCATGTGTGATTACAGATTTTACTGACGGATTTTGTCGCTCTGTTTCTGTCGCACTTGTTTTGTTCAAAAGATTTAGTAGACATGTTCCTTCTAGAGTTTATTGAGAATCAAAATCCATCTGTTGTACAATAGTAATCCAGTCACTGAAGGCCAAAGCTGCCTGTATCTAACAGTCAAAACGACTTCTTTTAGAGTCTTTTACAGTATCAGTATAATTGATTTTAACTTTTTTATTTTGGTGTTGTTCTTGTATTACAATTCACCAGGTATGCAGCAACAAATCAATTTGACAAGGCTGTGAAAACATTTGAAACTATGGAGAAGTTCTGCTTGTTGCCTGATCAGGATGCATTCTTCACATTTCTTAACATTCTCTGCAAGCATGGAAACATCGAGGAGGCTGAAGAATTCATGTTTCTCAACAAAAAGTTCTTCCCTCTGGTGACTGAGGGCTTTAACATAATTCTCAATGGATGGTGCAATATAGCAGTTGATATAGTTGAAGCCAAGAGAGTGTGGAGAGAAATGTCAAAATGCTGTATTTTGCCTAATGGGATGTCCTATACGCACTTGATTTCCTGTTTTGCGAAAGTTAGAAATCTATTTGACTCGCTCAGACTGTGTGACGAGATGAAGAAAAGGGGTTTTCAACCTGGCATTGAGGTGTATAATTCTTTAGCATATGTTCTGGCTTCTGAGGACTGCTTGAAGGAATCTCTTACCATTCTCAATAAAATGAAAGAAGCAGGTCTATATCCTGATTCTACCACATACAACAACATCATAATCCCTCTTTGTGGAGATATGAAACTAGAGGAGGCAAGAATGGTACTGGCTATGATGATAGAGGACAATGTCAGTCCAACTATTGATACATACCATGCATTTCTTACTGGTGCAAGTTTAGAAGGAGCTTTTGAAGTTCTTAATCATATGAGAAAAGCCGGTCTTGGTCCAAACGGGAATACCTTTCTCCAAATTCTGGGAAAATTTTTTGAATTGAAGCAACCTGAAAGTGCTCTGAAGGTATGGTTGGAAATGAGGCACTATGAGATATTGCCTGACTTAGCACATTACAGAGTTCTGGTTGAAGGGTTAGCTAAATGTGGATTGTTGGTCAAGGCTAGAGAATTTTACAATGAGAGGAGATCTAGAGGATTTGCTAGGGATCCGAAGCTTGAGAAACTTTTCAAAGAACCAAGGAAGGACAGGCATCTTGAAGGAGACCGTAGGAGAACCATAAAACACATTGAGGAAGGCAAATCCTCATTTCATGGGAGAAATATTGCTATGCAAAATAGAAGAGGTACTAAAACTTCAAGCAAGAATAAAATAACTCGAGGTTGAGATTCCTTTGCTCTTCTTGTGGCTTTGGTAAATGCATATATTTTGGCGATCAATGACTCGTTGGGTCAGCGCATGGATTTTAGCATGGAAAATTTATATTTGATGTCTGCATTGGGTGGTCTGCTGAAAGCATATTATTGATTTTGGAGATTGGCTAAACTAGGAAGATTGTTATATATTTTTCTCCTCTTCCTATATTTATGGAGGAGCTGTGCTTGGGCTGGTTCCATGGGCAGCATTGCGAGTCAATCTGTGCCCAGGTGAGCTGTTGCATTTTGCATTCTTTGGAGTCTCTGGTGTGCCTTGTGCTATTCAGTATCATGGAGTGATGGACTATGAATGAAATTCAGGAAAGAGCGGAGCTTCAACTTGAAGCTCAGTTATAACTTGTAAGCCTCTGAGGTCTAGTCCCCTGATGACTGGTATACTCAAAAAGAAGAAGTGTAAGATGGCAAGGATATACTCATAAAAGTCACTTTGAGAACATTGGCATCTTGAATGCAAAAGACGTCGCTCATTGGTGATTGCAAGTTTGCAACTTTAACTATATAAGCCACCATTTTATCAGCAATTCAGAGGTTGGAATGTTCTGCCATTTTCACTCGAAATCATCAGATGTAGGGTCTAGTGTTTTGCAGGGATTTATGTGGTAATATTCTAAACAGGCCATGTGATTTTAGTTCGTTAAATGGTTAAGCCGGGAGAATTTGGATTCAATAGAATAAGCACACACACAAACACGCGCATAGAGAGAGAGAGGGGAGGAAACTGTGTGTTTATTTGCGGGATCAAGACTTTATGAGGGCCTGGTTCACTGATTACTCCATGTAATTGTAGATCCCCATTGTTTGGCAAGCTCTTGATAGCAATCACTGGAACCGACTCAGCGTTTCGCGCCAAATCAAGATCTTGAGTATGGTGGAATTCGCAGGGCGATTCTTTAACGTAACGTTCCACGCTAAGTCCAGAATGTTGCCTGTGGATAATTGGGATTGGGGAAGAGCGATTAGCGAGAATCAATAAACTAAACCGAAGGAAATGAAGCGCGCATGAGATTCAAGCGTGACTTTTAAGGCTTTGCTCGCTCGTACCATTGGGGTCCATATCCCCGAATTTGATGTTTGTGCTCCAACATTTCACTAGTGAGTGTTCAAGTGGGTGCTTCCACCGAGAAAATATATTGGTCCCATCTCATCGAGAAGGTCCTCTGGCTCGTCTGCTACATTACATGAATACAGTCACAGCCATATTAATTAATTAACTTGAGACTTAGAATACCGGAAGGTCCACATCACAATTTCTGGCCTGGTACGGTGCAGCCAAGTCCAGCCATTTCACAACTTGTATGTACTAGTCTTAAATATCTACAAAGCCATCCTTCAAATCTCGGGCTGGTTAAATGATTGATAAAAAAAAAAAAAAAAAAAAATCTGACATAACAATTTCTCCAAAACAAATTGTTGCGAGATTTTTCGATTCTAACTTATACATCTTCAGTTAACCACCAGCCCAAACCACCTAAGTGAGCGGGGCGTGCTGTGCACCCGTTTGGATTGATGGTGGTTTAGTTTCTTCCGAATTATTCCTGAATTTCCTTAGATTCGCCCCCTCCTCCTTACTGTGGGATGGAATAGATTTATCGTCTCTGAAAAAAAAAAAAAAAAAAAACTTACATCTTCAGTTACTACCATGTATAAGCATAACCAGCGCTAAAATGTTCTTTTTTTACACCCTCTACTTTAACTGATCTGGTGATATATATATATATATGACCTCAACTTCATTAGACTTGCTAAGAACAAAAAAATAATAATAATAATAAAAATGATGCTGATAAATAAAAGAAAGGAAAGGGTACCCTGCAGTCTCCAGCATTCTATTTATTAGTATTTACTATCCGTTCGGGATTTTCTTGGATCCGTTAGATAACCGTTGTTTGTTTCCTTAACTGGCTCAAATTTGCGGGGGCACCGCACTTTATATGACAAGCTGGCTTCTTCCTGCCAAACCCAAATTAGTAGCTTAGCAGTCTTGAAAAAGAAAAAGGGTAGCCACTAGCCAGTGGTCAGTAGTGGACCTGCAGTAGTCAAGCACAGTCAAAAGAGCTGCAAGTACTACAGTCATCACCTCCCAAAACAAATTCGACCAAACCAACCAACCACCATCAACCCCAATCATGCCCAACTCAGCAGCTTCAACCCTGCTCCACCTTATCACCACCACCACCCCCCTCCTCCTCCTCCTCCTCCTCCTACTGACCACCAGAGTCTCCGCCACCGACCACATTGTGGGTGCCAACCAAGGCTGGAATCCTGGCATCAACTACACCCTCTGGTCCAACAACCAAACTTTCTACGTTGGAGACCTCATTTGTACGTACATATACTACTTTCCACCACCGCGTACATTCTTTCTCATACGATCCACGTTGTATTTGTAAACAGCAATAATGTTATGTTTTCTTTTGGATTAATTTTGGTTATATACAATATATGGGACAGCATTTAGGTATCAGAAGACACAGTACAACGTTTTTGAAGTGAACGAGACAGGCTACGATAACTGTACGATCGAAGGGGCAGTGGGCAACTGGAGCAGCGGAAAGGACTTTATCCCCCTTAACAAAGCTAAAAGGTACTACTTCATCTGTGGGACTGGTGGCTGCTTCAACGGGATGAAGGTTTCTGTCATCGTCCACCCTCTTCCTTCTCCGCCCAAGCCTGCCATTGCGGCCTCTCATGCGTCCACTAAATCAGCCGCAGCCGCAGCCGCAGCGGCGCGTGGGATTTACTCCATGCTGGTCTTGATGGGTCTTTTTCCGTTTATATGGATTGGGCTTTGATTGTGGATCCGGACTTCTTCTAGTTAGGCTGCATTCCCCTTTTTTTTTTTTTTTTTTTTTTTTGGAAAAAAAAAAATTGCTTTTGTGGGTGTGCGAAAAAATCCATTGCCTTTGATTTGTGCTTGTGTGTGGGATCCATCCAATCCAAGTGTTGAAGAATTTGGAGAAATTATTTTCTCCTATTTTTTAGTGGGAGATTGGTGGGTCTTTAATTCATATTCATCTTGTTCATGTTGTGGTCGTAAAGTTTTTGTTGAATTGTCCTCTTCCATAATTTTTTCTCGTCCGAATAAGGGCACGCCTAATATATATGCAATTTAAAAACAATTAAAATGAATTTTGTTTTTCACATAAATACAATTTTAGACAAATTAATGAAAGAACTTTGATTTATAAGGTGCGGTAATTTGGTAATTACAGCAGTTAAGGTGGCTATCAATAGTTATTATACTAGAAAAATGTGACTGGGTTTGCATTGCCACCTCTGATTTTATATATTGTACCGATGGATGACTTTTGAGTTTTACAATTAACGAACGGGCTGAAGGAGATGCCTTTCTCATTCACAAGCCCAAAAACCTCTTGTGAACCCAATTGTCTAATTTTTCTTCTTTTTCTTTTTTTTCCCCCCTTAAATAGAGAGAGCAAAACTAAACAAGCTTTTCGTTCATGAATCAAATCAGCCAACATAATTGTTGTGTTGATATACAATGAGGAGTGGTTGACCAGAAATTTGGGAAATCCAAGAACTTAGCTAGCTGGGCTAATGCGTGGGCTGCCCTATTACCAGTTCTCCTATAGTAACTGAAAACGCAAGAGGCTTTGTTCATTTTTGATACGACAATTCAACTGAATTGCACAGATTAAGTGCGCTAAAAAGATGGGGTGAATCCATTTACAGAACTACTGACGAACAAAGCCCAACAACCTACATTCCTACTTGAATGATGGGCCTCGACCTGAGGCTTTGTTCTAATTTTGTAGTATTACTTCTTTATTATGACGCATGTTTTGAGGTACCGTATCTTTCTTTCTTTTTTTTTTTTTTAGACCTACATTTATTCTATATTTTGAAGAAGAGACCCGAAGAAATCAAGAAAAAATTGGAGGAGATGGAACCACCTACCAGTCCAAACGAGTGCACTGCACATTCGTTTGGAAGCCACTTAAAATGGCTTGCCACATTTTTGTGGCCAATAATGAGAGGCAAGATTTGATTCCTGACCTCCCACCCCAGCAACTTTGGTGGTGGCATCATATCACATGGAGAGAAATGAAATGACAATAATGGCCAAAAGAGGGGGAAAAAAAAGGCTAAAGGATAAGAGCCAAATGAAATATCGATGATACGAACAGGACAAAACTTAATGTACCTGTTGGCTTGTTGCTGCCAACTGATCATCTAAGTGATGTCTTGTTGATTGATCCCCAAATTTGTTGTCTAATCCAGAAGATTATATTGTCTTGACAAAGAAAAAACAAAAGGGATTGTTTTAGAATCTAGAATGGAATTGTTTTACCAAGTTTATACGCCAACATTCTTTACTTGAAAGGAAGAGGGGCAAAAATGACACATGGCATTGCATTCCATAGCTGAGAGAAGTGGCGGTTCGAATTTTCAAAGGCATTGGATAAAAGAGATCAATGATATCTTGGAAAGAAAAATATTCGTATCACACAAAGAGTTGTTGAAGAGATTTTCCGCAATTAATTTCTGGATTTGTCTCTGCATAATTTTTAAGGATGGAATGAGTAATATCAAAATTTTTTGCAAGCTCTCCGCGGCTTTCTTTGGGATGGAAAAATTTTTTAACCGTAGCTGCTGTTTTTCTTCTTCCAAATCAGCTGATTTCTTTTCTTTTCTATCTCACTAAATCTCCCAAACATTGGAAACATCTATCTTTTTCTTCCCTTTTTTTTTTTTCTTTTCTGCTCAAATCTTATCTCCCAAACTAGCCATGAAGTGTTTATACATGCCTCCAGTAGACAAATAATATTGTAGCGCAATGATTTAACCAAAAAAAAAAAAAAAAAAAAGAGAGAGAGAATCGCATACTTCCTTATCCTGGAAAAAAAAAAAAATAGACACAGAAATCAACTCTCAAAGTAGATTTCCATCTCCAAGGTGAGTGAGGTTGTCGGGATTGATCCTTATTAGCAATTTTTTTTTTTTTTGCTTGCGTTATATACAAGTTTATTAATTATATTTTTTCGATGATTTTCTTATTTCACGTATATCGCATCACATAAATAACAACGGTATTATTCTATTCAAAAAACAAGTTGAAAGAAATATACTAGTAATTTTCTATGCAAACGGACTCGTGAAATTTTTGCCATGCAGCTACGAGCATATATATATATATGCTGGTTGTGTGTGTGTGTGTGTGTGTGTGTGTGTGTGTGTGTGTATATATATCAATTGTTGGTTGTGTTGTGTGTGTTTAAAGGGCACTGGTGGTTGGTGCAGACCGTGATGGTGACTCGTGTGGTATTGAATTTGACCACTCTTTTGAAGTTCAGGAAAACTTATTCCTTTTCCTCCCAAGGCTAATATTGAAGCAATCTGCTTTCCATTGGCATATAGCGTCTGTTAGGGCTTTAGGAAGTTAAACAGTAAACAACAAAAACTGCCAGAGCGTGTGATGGCATTCATGAAGTGGACCAACTGCAGTCAAGTATAGCAGGCAGCGCAAAGTGGGTGGTGCCATGACACTAGTAGTAATAGTATCCTATGAAGTATGAACACGAGCTGCTAAAAACAGGGTCCTTGGATTCGAATATACAGAGGGGGAAAAAGTTAATGGAAAGTTTGTAGAAATTTTGTATATTTTTCTCCCATCATCAGAAGAAGCGAGGAAAGTGCAAATTCTTGCTCACCAAATGAACAAGGAAGGTTGGTCCAAGGAAGAGGAGAGGGAGGAGCCAAAACTGCTAATACCTACTGATACTGGCAGCTGTTTAACGCTCTAGTGCATACTTTTTTCCTCTTAGTTAAAAACTTTTTGATTTCAATTCTCTGCTGGTGCTTCACCCACTCCATCCCCTTCTCCAGTAAAAGCAGGCCAAGTCGATTTCCACAAGGAGAAGTTAGGCATTATTTGTTTTACTCTCCAGTCCCCACCCTTTGTTCTTTCACTTTTCATGCCAACGGACCATGGCGTGAAAAAAAGGGGGAAGGGACGAGATGGGTTGACAATCATAACAAATGTTCGTCTTTGACGTATGAGGGATACAAGCTCAGTGCTGCATTGTTTGGTTCAGATGTCAACAGTGCGATTTGATATTATTGTTTAGTAAAACATGAATCTAAGGACAAAAAAAGAGCAGCAGCAGCATCAAGGGCCGCTGCAAGTGAATTCAATTCAGAAAAGCTTTCGTTCATCTATTTACATACAATAGAATAAAACTTGGCAATCAGCATCTACAATCTTGCATCAAAATAAACTAGCCTTTCTGGAAGAACATGATCATCAGAACCTTCCTCTCCTTTATGTTAACAAACTAAAAACCTATTCAGGATTGCTCTTCTGTCTCCTTCTTGACCTGCTGAATAATTTTGAAGGTGGAGAGGGAGAAAACTCGAATGGGAGTGGTGGGAGTTCCATTTCCCCTTTCAAGATCTTAAGAATGTCCCCAACATCTGGCCGTAGCTCGGGAACTTTTTGCAAGCAAGCAAGTGCCAAGTGAATACACAAGCTTGCTTGCTCCTTGCTGTAATCATCCTTTAGTTTCTCATCTATTATTTCTAATACATTTCCAGCATGAGCTAAATGCCTACACCAGCTTATCAGGTTTGCCTTTTCAAGCTTCATAGGTGAAGATAGCACATGTAATGGCCTTCTACCAGAGACAATCACAAGGATCAGAACGCCCAAGCTGTAAATATCAGCCTTCTCCATTAGATATCCACAACCACCATATTCAGGTGCCACATAGCAAAGAGTGCCTCTCATGCTAGTTGTGCTGCTCAATTGTCCACTAAAGAGATCTCCGCTCCACATATCGCTGTTTACAGAACGTGCATTCTTCTTCTTCCAACCCTTTCTAAAGCTAAATTCCCCATCCTGATTGTCTAAATCTTGGCTCTGTCGCCTTACACTTCTCCTCTTTAAGTAAAAACGTTTACCCAAACTGAAGTGTGGCATTTTAAAGCGCTTCTTCATCCTAACGTCCGGTTCATTTACCTTAGTATTCTTTCTGCTAAGTTCATCAAGATGCTCTTCTTTCCACCATTCTTGCATCTTCCTGTGCTTCTTATTACGCGTTCTCCTCCACCGATTAGAACCCTCCATCTCAACCCCATTATTAGGACAATCCAATCTGGATTCTTGTAATTGGTTTTCGAATTTATCTTCCACCTTATTTAGCTGCATTGAATTATCCACCAAGTCATTGTCTTGAGGAGAGGACTTCTTTTCATCATCCCAATCTGGCGTTGGGGATGGACAGATCTGGCTCCCAATCCACTCCATCACATAATCTTTACTACATAATTCACCACTTCCATCCTGTCTCCACCACCAATCTTTCCCCCATTGTTTGGTCCTGGTACCATGTTCATCCCCAACCAAAGCGGCATTCAGATTCAACTCTTTACCAAGTTCAACGCCACTGAGCTCATTATCAGGATTCAGAAACTTGTTCGAATCTTCTCCACCACCATTTTCAACAACTGAAACCTCCTTCCCCTTAGCATTGCGACTCTTAGTATCGTCATCAATGAAAAAATTACCATTAAAGTTCAAAGAACCCCAGCTTAAACTTTTCAAACTGTGGAATGCTGTAGTATTTTTCGTGGAAGAGGAAGCCTGCAAAGCCAAAGCAAAATCAACCTCATCATGACTATCTACTGGAGTCCCAATTACAGGAGTCCCAGTTCCAGTTCCAGTTCCAGTTCCGGTTCCGGTTCCTCCTCCCCCAGTACCTAAATTCCCAGAAAGTTCCTGACTTTTCCACAACTCCTGACTCTTCCCCAGCTCCTGACTAAACATATCAACCCCGAATTCAGCCTCAAGCTTCAATCTGGACAAGCCGAAATCTGAAAGTTTAGCCCTGTACTCTGAGTCAAGCAGCACGTTACTAGGCTTCACATCCCCATGAATCACAGGTGGATCACATTCAAGATGCAGAAAGGACAATGCTTTAGCAATATCAAGAATGATATCAAACCTTCTACCCCAATTCAAACTCAAATTAGACTCAGAAAACAAGCTCTCTTGTAAGCTACG